GGGGGGGGGGGGGGGGGGGGGGGGGGGGGGGGGGGGGGGGGGGGGGGGGGTGAGGTGTGTAGAAATGTAGAAAAATACACCGGGTGGCACACGTAAGTTAGTGGAATGCAATTCGTGATGAAAAAACGGCCTGGCACACACGGCTTGATGAAAATTGCCCTGTGGCACAGGGGGGAGCTTGTGGGTGTGTGTCGTTGTTGACTGACTGAATCAGGTCATGTCCAGCAACTCAACGAATGAATCCACTCGAGCAGTTTGTGCCGACGAAAATAATAGAGCTGGCCGTAGACACGGGTAGGGTGAACGCGGCCACCTCACCTGTGTAGGGTTCTGGGCCAACGGGCTGTTCTAAACAATCGCTGATGACGCCATGTAGTTCTCCGAAAAGCACCATCAACTCCCAAAAAAAAAACTCCTGAAGCGAGCAAAGACAATAAGCCAGCGATGTCCCTCGAGACGCTAAAACGGGGCATCCAAGCACACGCCAACACCTTCTCACGCACGCACGCGCGTGTACGCAAACAAGGTCGTACAGGATACACTCGCGTATACTGCCGCGTAGCCTACTGTTTCGGCGCCAGGCCCTTCCGCCGCCGCGGCCGCCCCCCGCCTGCCTTACGTACCGGGCGTGATCTTGAGCGCGCCCGTCCCGAACTCCATGTCCACGTAGTCGTCGGCGATGATGGGGATCTCGCGGCCCGAGAGAGGGACGACCACCTTCCCGCCCACCAGGTGCTTGAACCGCTCGTCCTTTCGAGAGTTGACGGGTGTGAAAGAGAAGGAACGACAAAAAAACAAAAAGCATTCACATCTCGCTCACAACACAAACATCGAATTGTAAATCGTTTCAAGTTACGTACATTTTCGGAAAAGAGGAACGCCTTCCTTGCGTAACCCTGGCATGATAGTCGCAGCTCGACCATTGGTATGCCAATGAGAGCATCCCAATGGTCCCTGTGCTTCGAAATAGTGTTGTAACAAATGAAGAATAAAATACACACGCACATTTGCACACCTCGGGATGGACGCAAACGGCGGTATCGCCGAGGATAGTCTCGGGTCTCGTCGTGGCCACCGACAAGTGCTCGCCTTCCTTGCCCCCGGCCACCATGTACCTTCCAACGAACAATGACCAAGGACGGAGGAGGATTAGGGGGGCACCAGCTCGCAGGACCACGTCTTGGAAAACTTAACAAATATATTGTGTTGCTATGCATTCATACAAAATTTCTGTGCATACTCGTCCAACCGACGGGCCACCGGTACTCACAGCCCACGGCCAACACTGCTGCTATGGAAACAGCATATACAACGACTCGGTACACTCTGCTGCTGCATAACTCGCGGTTGTTTCTCACACAAAGTCATTAGCAGAGATTGCCATCCTCAAAACAAATGTGACCCTGCTTTGTCGGTACTCGTTAAACCGACTCAAAGCCGGCACATTGTTTTTTGTTCATCACTTTAAATCAGCCCTCACAGCACTGCTGCCGAAAGCAGTATATGGAACGTAATGACTCCGGTACCCTCAGCTGCTACAGAATTGGCCGTTGTATCTCTCACTTACTTGAAGTAGTAGAGCTTGCCGTCCTCCTCGGAGTACTCCACCTCCAAATCGCTCACCGCCGTCTGGAGGGACGGGCTCCAGTTCACCATATAGTCCCCTCGGTACACCAACCCCTGCGGTCCGCGTATTTGTTTCGTTGTTTGCCCAGGTGATAACCGTATGGTACGTCAAATATAAATGAAAACACAACAAAAAAAGAAAAAAGTTCGTTTCGTGTGCATAAATGGACCAAATAATTTCAACCGGCGGTATACTTAGCAGTTGGATGCGTAGGTTCGTGGTAGCGTTGAGAATCAGAGTGTCAGAATCAGAATGTCAAGGGCTAGAGGGATACATACCCCTGCAGCTTTCCCGTCCCCACGAAAGTTGTGTACACATTCGAACGGTGCACATCTGTGGGCAGCGGAAGCAGATCATGCAACCCCTCGTGACACCAATCACCCCAGGGTATCGGTGGACACGCACGCCATAGAGCACACCAACAGCTGTGCGGTAACGACGTTTGATAGTTGACACAAACCATGGGCGTCTCGCCAGTAAGACATTTCCGTGTTGGCGGTGCTGTGTGCATATGCATACACGGTAGATAAGAGGCGGCAATGCTTGTAGGCAACGGCTTGCCACAATGTGGTGTGTTGAAAGGTAGTGTGAACTCTAGCAGTACCCTGGTTGACACGGAACAAGAGTCCTCACCTACATCGAATAAAAAACCGATTAGGATCGGGCGTGAAGGCCGCGCAAGGCACCACCGTCCACGTGCTTGCACCATCACAGCAGTAGAGGTGCATGGAGCGCGCTATTATAGTTTCATCTTTTACTCATGAAATGAGCCAGGAAGCACGTAGCACCTACCAAGCACGGATATGAAAAGAGAAACAGCACAAACAATTCCGTAAACGCCGCCATACCGTAGAAGCACCATCACCGCGGGAAAAACTTCATTGCTCTTGCCTTCTCGTGAAGGCGAACGAATGCCTCCGTCACGGCCGCGCTCATCTCCGGGTCGAGCGTGAACCGTTCCCGGGACCAGTCCGCAGAGGCCCCAAGCCGCCGCATCTGCCGCACGATGTAGCCCCCCTTGTCCTCCTTCCACTCCCACACCTTCTTCAGGAAGGCCTCTCGGCCGATCTCCTTGCGGTCGATGCCCTCGGCGGCTAGGGCCTTCACCACCAGCATCTGAGTCGCGATGCCCGCGTGGTCTTGCCCGGGGAGGAACAGGGTGGGCTCGCCCCGCATGCGGTGGTAGCGCGTCAAAATGTCCTGCCGTAGGTTGGTTTGTGAGCAGGTGTGTGTGGGGGGGGGGGG